GATAACAAAATCTTTAATGCAAATCTCAGGTTACAACATCAGATATTTCTTCTCTTTTCCCTTAACATTTACTGTCTCATATTCAAGCTAGTACAATTCTAGTTATATCAACACAATGAAAACATCATTATTACATTTATCAATACATTTTTAGCTTATACATATCTTAATTACATTCAATCTTCATAAACAATCCATATCCTGTTATTAACTTTTGCCCAATTTTTAGTTTCTCATCAATATTCCAATTTAACCTTTGATATTTATAATTTTCAGGCTTTGGGTAACCAACATTTCCCTTGTCTCAGTTCATAACAAAATATAATATCCAAAATACACATTTTCTCTGTTTGGGTTTAATCTTGTTCTATTTCCTAAAAGTTGTCTATTTCCCACCATATTAAATCATCTATTTAATAATACAATATCCCCTTTAATAAATCAAAACAATTATGTATATTACCTGGGTTAATCAAACATATTCATGATAATTCATTTTCTTTTCCCTTTTAGGTCTAATTTTTAAATATTAAACAAATAAAATCCTTATTTTCAACTAATTTGCAAGTATTTTAAATCTAATAACCAAAATTCCCCTTATCTCAACATTTCCCTTTAACCCTCTAATTAATAAACCTCCAGATGTTTTAACGGTGGTTAGCATGAGTTGGGAAGGCTGATCTAGGCTCTCAATTGTTTCGTTGAGAATGCTTGGCTGCTTCTTGATTGTGTTGATGGAAGGAAAACTTTGCAGTTGACAATTTTGTCCCCTATTAATTTTTGAGTGGTTTTTAGACATGCACTTTTGTTTGTGACTGAAAAAAAAAATCCTTCTCTCCCAGCATGCAGCTTTGAAGGGGTTTTTCAAATACATTGAAATGCTGAAATATGAACATCATTTGAAGAAGTCCTTGACACAGTTGAATGCCGAGGGCGATCTTGAAAATGAATGCTTGGAATCACGGCGGCACAAATATCTGGACGACGATGGACCCATTTCTCCCATTGCAGAGACCAAGTAGGTACAATTAGACCCCCTAAGGTTGGGTTTTGCAATCCAAAACCCAGCCACAATTATGTGATTATTGAAGTTTTAATTGAATTTTGCCCTTCAAACAGTCTGATTTTAATAGACCATATGATTTTATCTGATACCTTTTTGTGTAAAGCTTCTGATGAAATTTTACTCAAGGGTCATTTTTCAATTGATAAAAAAGAATCCAAATATTTTCAGGGATTAAGAATTTAGCTGCCCAAAATAAAAATATAATCAGCTTTGTACTAAATGCCCCCTATTCTCTTCATTGAATATAATACAAGTATAAGTAGTCCTTGACTTACAACTATTTGTTTAGTGACGGTTCAAAGTTACACTGGCACTGAAAAAAAGTGGTTTTCACAGTTAATACCATTGCAGCATCCCCCCGTGGTCACATGATCAAAATTTGGACACTTGGCAACTGACTTATATTTATGACAATTCCAGTATCCCAAGGTCATGTGATCCCCTTTTCTGACCTCCTGACAAGTCAATGGGGAAGCCAGATTCACTTAACAACCATGTTACTAATTTAACAGCTGCAGTGATTCACTTAACTGGCAAGAAAGGGGCATAAAACTCAACTGTCTCACTTAACAACAGAAATGGGCTCAATTGTGGTTCTAAGTCGAGGACTACC